CACACACACACACACAGGAAATGAGTTGATGGTGTGTTTAGCACAATGTTGTTGCTGAGTGTGTGTTAGTGTCTCACATGACCACACACAGCTTGGGGTGCAGGTAACTGTGTGCTCATATCAGAGCAGCTGCTATAGGTGTGGCGAGCAGTGTTACAGATGACCTTTATTAGTCAGTGTATTTCTGTGAATAACTATGCATGTCCCTGTCCACGTGTGCCAGTGAGTGTTTCTCCTTGCAAGTGGGTACAGGAAAAACAGAGCTGACCAAATATTTAGGAAGTTCTCTTCAAGCTGTCACTCAAAAAAGATTCACACCACAAACTGTGTCTACTCTTTGAGAACTGACACATGTGCATTGAAATTGGCTATCAACACAGCTAGTAATTGTGGTAGCTTTCCCCAGCTTTTCTGTCTGTTATGATAACATTGTTGGTATGGCTTTCAATCCTAAAGTTAAGCTTCATCAACGACTTTAGGGACGCACTTGGTTTCAACCTGCTTCCATAATATTGAAAATATTTATCACTTTCTTGCGGAGATGCCTTGATGGAAGATTGATTGTCTGGGTTTTGGTTGCAGCAGCGAACGTGTGAATGAATGAGTAAAGCGCGTGTGAATGTGCAGTACAATAGTTTGATGGATGCTACAAACCCGCAGTAAACAACTAAAGCGAAAACAGTGTAGTGTTTAGCGTATATCTTGCTTGCGAGCGGTTGAAAACTATTTATTCTTGGTGTCCTAATGTCACACACCTTTGTCTGTCTCTACATGATTACAGATGCGTAGTGATTGCGTAATTTTAACTCAAACTGTGATGCCTTGGAGTTCTTTAATAAGACAAACAAAAGGCTCCAACAGTTATATTCATCAGTGGTAGCTGAAAACAGCAACATCAGTCCAACAAAGTCCAACAGGACAGGAAACAAGAGCAGACAGACCATCAGGCAGGAGATAAACAAGCCAGATTATCCTAACCAACTTATTTGAAGGTAAATCTGAACAGCCAAAAGGCCAGGAACAATCTTTCACTGGACAAAAAAACTACATACACACAACCACACCAAGGTCATAGTAGGAAATCTGTCTGTACAGTGTGATTAACAGTTTGGCTAGTAATTTTGTGTTTGTCTTTGTTTGCATATGTTTATCTCCATCTTTGACTAATCTCATATAACTGGAAAGAAAACACATTCCACAAAATCTTAAAACCTGTATGATTGTGTTCTTTTTAGCAATGATCCTTTCAGAGCTATTCTTTGATTAAAACACCTTAACTGAGCTGGAGTGGTAGAGTGACAGAAAGATAGAGCAGACCAGTGTTCACTCAATTACAGCGCAGAGTACAAGAGTGTGAAAAAGTAAAAGGAGGAACGAGAGAGTGACAGAAAGAGAGGGAGAGATTGAGGCAGAGAACTAGGAGGGGGGAGGGCAAGTTTGTGCAGTTTCAGCAGGAACTGTTTGTGCCGTTCCAGACCGGGGTGACATGGCAGTGGCAGGCATTAACAAACAATCAGCGGCACCAGAACATCACGATCAAACCGTGGCTCATTTGAAGTCATCCCTCAGCACACTCAGGGAGGAGCGTTCCCAGTAGTTACTGTGAAATGCCACAGATAGAAAAATAATTGAAGGTTCAGTACGACGAGAGGTACGACAGGAGAATGTGTGTGTATTAGTGACCTCTTGTTACATGCAAACAAATACACACACACACACACACACACAGAGACTATCTGTTAGGGGTAGGGAGTGACGGCAGGGCCCGCCCATTACGAGGTCAAACAGAGATTTACTTCCTTATCATTTGCCCCAGACAGCTGCCTGTCAAAGGAAAGCGAGACAGAAAGAGGGAGAGATGAAAGATGGAAACATGGACGAGATGGAGGGCTGCGATGGGCAAGGTCACGTTACTATGGAGATTTTACAGCAGCATGACGTCGAAGGCGGCTGTTGAGACTATCTAACACAGACGCACACATCAAGGTCTCTGGTACAGAGAGTGAAAGAGAGACAGGAGGGTGGACAGGAGACAAAAAAGGAGGGAGAGAGTGATAGATGGAAAACGAGACAGATTTGGTCTTTGCTACGGCAGCAATGGAGAAAGTAGAGAGCTCAGTGTGTGTGTGCTGCTGCTGCAGCCCTCCTCTGCCAGATTACAGAGTGACGTAGTGTTATCATTTCTCTGATAGGAGCTCTGCCACAAGAGGAGGAAGAGGAGGAGGAGGGAGGGGATGGAGGGAGAGGACAGAAAGGGGGAGGGGTGACGAGTCTCATTGCTGGAAAAATGGTCTGATAGCCAAGAAAAGGGCAGGGAGGGAGGGAGGGAAAAGGAAAAGTGAGGCAGAGAGAGCAGAGATAGAGACATAGTGCCACACAAAGGAACAGAGCATACACAAAGAAAGAAAGAGAGACAGGCAGAGGGGAAAAAAGAGGGCAAGGGAAAGAGAGAGCAGTAGAAAGTGAAAGAAAAGGAAAAAAGGCAGGGAGCTTGAAAAGAGAGAGTTCTTTGTGTGAGAGATCAGAGAGTGCAACAGCAAGGCGAAAAGTTAAAAAACAAGCTCGAGCAGAAAAAAAGGGCAGAAGAGGAAGGAAAACAGAGAGGTGAGAAGACAACAGGAGAAATAAAGAAAGAAAAGAAAGAGTAAGAAAGAAAGAAAGAAAAATTAGGGACAAGACACGGGTGAGGTGCCCTGAGCGACTGGTGGGTCACAGAAAGTGTGTGTGTGTGTTTGTGCATCCACATGGCAGCAGCAAGCAACATTTACAAAGAGGCAGCTGTTCCATTAGCTACTGCCATTGTGTCTAATTACATCCTGGTCTCCTTAGACACACACTCACACCCTTACACACACACACACACACACACACACATAGCATACGTGCATATAAACACACAATCGCTGCCTCTCCAGCCAACCAAGAAATCCCTACCATGCACGCTAACAAGGAAAGGAACTTGGAGCGACAGAGCCACAGCATATGTATGTGTGTGTGTGTGTGTGTGTGTGTGTGTGTTAATCACAGTGTCATGCACACTCCCTTACAACCCCACCCCCCTCAACACAAGAATACGAGGCAGAAAAAAGATCCACTAGTGTCGG